TGAGCATCACATCTAAGGCCACACAAAGTCAAGTCCTGCCAGCAAGGACAGGCTCCTGTGGATGCCATATCTTCCCTGTCAGAAAGCCTACTCTGTACAGCAAGTGATGCCAGTGGCCTATGCTGAAATGGCACATCCTGCTAAAGGAAGAATTTTTGGAGAAATAAACTTTTTTTTTTTTAAATGCCTCTTTGTTTGTAGACCAACTGAAACTCATTTCAAATGCAGGGCCCACCCGGCAGGCAACTAATGCTAGGTGTTTGATAATTTCATTCAAACTTACATTGCTTTCCTTCATTTTAACATTTATCCTTTACATTGTCTAACATCACTGGCTGCTGTAGGTGATGTAAAAGTTTCACGCTTCCCTTTCAGCAACACATTTGTGATACTAATAAAGACAAAAACTGGCTGCTACAGGACAAGAGCCATAACCTCAACCAAAACCACTATAAGTAATGCATCACTATAAGTAAGGAAACATACACACTGTTGAAAAATCAAGAAAAATTATAACCAATAATTTTATTGTGTGCATCTACATATGACACATTGTTGACGAAGTCACTGAAGAACCTGCAAAGCAAGAAGTCCCCAGTCAGACATCCAGGTAAAAGCAGGCTAGCACAAAGCAGACAGTCTGACAGTTTTATCCCAGCAGGAGCACTTGGCCATGGTGCCACGCGGGAGCAGGGAGGACAGGTGCCCATTTGCCCTGCAGCCCACAGCGAGGGGAACAAATGATACTTTCCCCATTCAATGAGCACAGGGACAAAATCAGAAATCTCCTTATAATTGAATTCTGGAAAGCTGATGTTGCCAGTAATGTTCCCCCAGGAAGTTGCTTAGGATGTGAGCAAAACACTCTCTGGAAGAACAGCCCACAACAGGCATGTGGAAGCTGCCCATTACACATTGCACAGCTCAGCACCCAGCTCACCTCCCTATGCGTCCTCCCCTGCAGCAGGCGCATCTCCACCTTTCGTGTTCCGGGTGTAAATCACCTGGGCTCGGTGCTTGGACACCAGTTTGATCAACCCTATGGAAAAACAAAATTACATCAGCGTGCATGTACTGATGGATGCTGGGGATGCCAAGGTTCCCTCCTAGAGAAGCAGGGCAATGAACAAGAGAAAATAAAAGGGGGTAGCAGCTTATACAAGTCTTTTGTTGCCATCTGGCTGCAGTTACATCACAGCCCATCCTTTTGGCAACATTCTTCTTAGTACAGCAATGCCTGTATGTAACAAACTGCTGCTCCATACTTTGGAGCACTTCTGAAATGCAAGTTAAGGCAGTGGCTCTCCAAAAACAATTTACGCATGGGGCAGTTCAGATGCTGCAGGAAAGCTGCTGGGCAAGCAAGGAAAACCAAACAGTCAATTCAAGCAGCTTTCCGTTTTTTTATTTTCGAGTGCTCACCTTTGCTGAGGAGCTCCTGGAGGGCAGCCCGAGCCAGGGAGCCTCGAATCTTCAGCCTTTCTGAGACAACTGCAGGTGTGATGAGCTTGTAGTTGGGCACTTCTTTGCACAGTTTGTCATAAGTGGCCTTGTCAAACAGGACAAGGTTGTTCAACTTGTCTCTCACTTTCCCCTTGGACCACTTCTACTTGAAAAGAGAGAAAAAACAACACCCCCCTTAAGCAATCTTGTAAGCAAGAACAGAAGATGGAACTAAACTATGATGAAAGAACAGCATCGAACGTTTCCGTATCACATCCCAAACTAAAGCCCTAGTGAGATGCACAAAATTGCCTCCGTAAATGAGCGTGCTACGGCTATTACCTGTAGTATCTAAAAATAAGAGGACCAAAGCCCCCTGTTACTCAGGTTTAACACTATTATGTACAACTTGCTGGCAGACGAAGAGCTGGCTCCTTTAACAACAGGATGCCGGCCCCGCCTGCCCCCGTCCTGGGGCCCGGCCGCGCCACACGCGCCAGGCCCGGGATGGCGCGCGGAGCCCTCCGGCCCGCCGGCTCCCACCTTCTTCTTGGCTTTGCCGCCGGACTTGTTGACCGGGTCCTTGTCCTTCTTGGCGGACTTGCCCGCGTCCTTCTTCTTCTTATCGTCTTTGGGCGGCTGCGAGGGGGCGAGAAGGATGGGGGGTGAGCGGCGAGGCGCGGGGTCGGCCCCCCGGGCACCTCGCAGGGCTTCCCGCCGCGCTCACGGAGCCGCCAGCGCCTCTCGGGCGGCCCGGCCCGGCCCGCCGCCCGCCCCCCGGCCCGGGCCCGCTCACCATGATGCGGCCGCAGCTGCTCCGCAAGATGTCGGCTAGAAAGGAAGGGCCCGGCGTGGGGCGGGGGCGGGGCCGGGTCCGTCGCGTCACTGCCGGGGCGGGCCCGGGACCGTGCGTCACTGCCGGGGCGGCGGCGCTGCCTCTGCCGCGACGGGCGGGCGGGGCTCGGCGCCATGGCCATCTTCAGCGTCTACGTGGTCAACAAGGCCGGCGGCCTCATCTACCAGCTGGACCACTACGCGCCCCGCTCCGACACCGAGAAGACGTTCAGCTTTCCGCTCGATCTCGTCCTGCGCCTGCACGACGAGCGCGTCGTCGTTGCCTTCGGGCAGCGGGACGGCATCCGCGGTGCGGCGGGTGGGAAGTGCCGGGCGGGGCCGGGCTTATTGACGGACAGATTGACTGACCGTCTGACCGACGGACTGTCTGCCTGACGCCGCCGCGCTGTCCCCGCAGTGGGTCACGCCGTGCTCGCCATCAACGGCGCCGAGGTGAACGGTCGCTTCACGGCGGACGGGAAGGACGTGCTGGAGTTCCTGAGCAACCCCGCCAACTACCCGGTGTCCATCCGCTTCGGCCGCCACCGGCTCTCCTCCAATGAGAAGCTGATGCTGGCCTCCATGTTCCACTCGTGAGTCGGGGGGCCGTGACGGCCGGGGGGCACGGGCAGGGCGGCGAGGGGCGCTGAGGGCCTGTCCCCGCAGGCTGTTCGCCATCGGCTCGCAGCTGTCACCCGAGGTTGGGAGCTCCGGGATCGAGATGCTGGAGACCGACACCTTCAAGCTGCACTGCTTCCAGACACTGACAGGTACCGGGGGGCCCGAGCACCGGCACTGCTCTGCTCGTCAGGGCTGTCTGTGCTTGGCCTTCCTCATGCTCCTGGCATTATGGCTCTAGGGATCAAATTCATGGTTCTTGCTGACCCAAGGCAGACAGGGATAGACGCTCTTCTCCGCAAAATCTATGAGATTTACTCAGACTTCGCTCTGAAGAATCCTTTCTACTCCCTAGAGATGCCAATAAGGTAAGGAAAAGCCCATTTTTAGTAACCTGGCTGCAACCCCTCATTGCTTTCTGCCTATACAGTAGCAAATGCACTCCTGAGTGGCAAAACTGGCTGAAGGAAGGGGAAGGAAGCTACAGCACACTGCTGCAGAGAGGGGATGCAGCCCTGCGCTCTTTCCAGCGCTGGCTCTGCCGGGGCAATGGGAGGTGCTCTCCCTTGGCACAAGCCCTGCTGTCTTACCATATGTTCGGGCCTATATAAGAAGCTTTAACCTTAACTAAGGACCAAGTCGGACCTTGACAGTAGTCATGTTGCTGTGTCATAATTTCTGAATTTCTCCTTGAAGGATGCAGAGCCAAGGATGTGGAGATCTTTTGTTAGCTTTGTTAACTCACTTCCATAGGTAGAAGTCATCCCTTTTGCTTTTCTGACTATTTCAGGTGCGAGTTGTTTGATCAGAACTTGAAGCTTGCTCTGGAGGTGGCAGAGAAGGCTGGACCCTTCGGACCTGGATCATAGAGAAAGCCTTGCCTGTTGCAGAGATTCATTCGTCTGAAGAGCGGGGCCTCTCTCTTCCCTGGCTGGTCTCTCACAAAGCTCCCCTCTCCACAGCAGAGACTGCACATCCCCAAAACATGCTTCAGTATCTCCGAAAATACCAGTTGATCCCCTTTGTTGCAAAACTTACCTTAAAGAGATTCCTTAGCACTGTTTACATTGGGCCACAGGGCCTTACTTTGCTGTTGCAGCTCTGCTGCACTTGGCTGAAGGAGAAGGTGCAGGTCTGTGGCTTTCCCACAGTCAGTGCTTTTCTTTCCTGTCATGAATGTACATAGGTATTTTTCCTGTATAGCTCGAACTTACGGTCTTGCAAAGGGTTTCTGTATAGAAGTAATAAGTGTTTACTAATGAGACAAATGGCTGTTTGCTTTCTGTTGGTGGGGACATTGGCACCTCAAGAGGATACGTGGATTTGGGTGGTTTTGTTTGCACCGCTTTCCATAAGACAACCAGGGCCCTTGTGACACTGCTCCATTTTTATTTCAGATATAGAAGAAAATCATGTAATTAAGTACAAAATGTAATTCACTTCCATTTACTTAATTAAGGCTAGCTAACTACTCTTGCAAGCAAGGTACTCGGCAAAGTACCTGCATGCAGGTTCTTTACGAGTTGAACGTGCCTCTTTCAGGATCCTAAGACAGTAAATCCTTTTGGGGAAAAATAAGAATATTCAACAAATTCCTGATTAAATACCTGAGTGTACTTACTGCAGGGTGCTGGGCCTGACTGCTAAGGCTGTCAGTGATGGCTCTGCTAAGGCTGACTCAGAGCCCCTGCCTGCAGCCATGAGAGACACAGCTCTTGACCAAAACTATCCCAGTCTTCACACCTTGTACTGGAAAAATACAAGCCAATGCTAGAAATGTGGGTTCTCAAGAAACCCAGCTGCAGAAGTTGTGGGTTGGTGGTGGCTGCTGTTGCAATTCCTGCTGCTGGGATAGTTCTGCTGGCTGATTTGCAGAGCAGTGGCTGTGAGCTGCCTTGGCAGCAGCTGCCTGCCTTGCCAATCATTAACACTGCACACAGAACGCACCAGCAGGATCAGTTCACTTAGAAGGAGCTGCTCCAGACACCACGAATTCCCTGGAAACGTGCCTGTTGCTAAATGCTGTGGAGAGCCCTGCCCCGGCTTGTCCTGCTGCTCGCTCCTGGAACTAACCCCGCGTGGGGCTGCTGTCCGAGGCTGGGCTGCAGCCCTCGCCATGCCCTGATGCGCGCTGCCACGCAGCTGAGCACACACAGGGCTCGTGCTCAGGTGGCCTGGCACAGCCCGGGCAGCTGGATGGCACGGACACGGGCAGCACGGCTGGGTTCAGGGCCCTGAGCAGCGAGGCTGAACTGATTGATATCTCGGTTAATGGCTGAGACAATAACGACAGCACTAGAGGTAAGTGCACCTGAAGACAGTCATTTCAGACCACTTCTAGTGGGGAAGCTTGGGCTGCAGAGCCTGCTTGCTTCACTAACAGTGCTGTGAGGAAGAGGTACAGTAAAATCATTGCAAATGTAAACTAGGTGAATTATCACATCTTGAGGGAAAAAGTGATCAGTAGCAGGAACCTTGTGCCCTCTGGCACCTGACACTGGATGAGAAGTTGAGACATTTTTATCTAGGTTGCAGCAATAGGTAAACTCACTCCTAGGCCAGTCAAACAAAAACGAGCATCATTCACGTCAGCGTGGGAACATCCTTCCACCGAGCAGCTCCTCCTCAGTCAGCCTTCCTGGGAACCCGGCCCATCTTGGTGCGGATGTTTCGCAGGAGGAAGAAAGCCACTGTGCTAGCCATGCAGGTGACCTCAGCTACCCAGAACGCTGTGGCCCAGCTGTAGTGCTTGGCAATTGTACTGAAAGGCAGTCCAGCCAGGAAACCCCCAACTGCAACGAAAAACAAACAGTCAACAACACTTGTGTGCTCCCATGTTATCTATCAACACCTGCTTTTGCATATATAACAGCTTCTTAGGCCTGGTTTGAACTTAAAGCCCAACACAAAACCTGCCAGGCACAGCAGGAAAGCATCCCTGAGGCTTCCAGCTCCATTATCTCTCTCCTTAGGTGCCTTCCCATGACCAGCAGCAGCTTGGCACCTGGGCCTAGACCATGCTTCATCAAGAATGTGCATGGGTTTTGTTTGTTTTTGGGGAAATGGGTATTACTTACCATTGGCCATGAGGGCCACGATGGCATGGGAGGTGCCACACAGGTTGGCAGGGGCACTTTCATTTGCTATGACCCCAAAGAGGGCAATCGGCCCGTACGAGGAGAACCCAAACACCGCTCCCAGACTCAGAATCCACAGCTGTCAAAATCACAAACAGGATCTGTAAATCTCACCACCGTCAGTTAGCAACTGTTGATAATTCTGATTCTATACTCAGTACCAGGGAGTTTTGACATTTTCAGGCTGACACCAGCTCCCCAGCCTGCAGCCAGGAGAGCTCAAGCCTGAAGAGTCCCCACATCCACAAAGCCCAGCTGCATCCCCACCACTCCATCTTACCGACCAATGCAAGCTCTCCTCCCTCCCACAGTTCTGCCCCCACACCACAGCCTGTGATGATTTGCAAGAAACAGAACATTGAACAGAAGAGGGCAATGAGCCCAAGAAACCACAGGAAAGAACTGTGGATCACATCGCTTTCATAAACAAGCCTGGAGCTACCAACTGAAAGCTTTTCTCAGTTTAGATGCATGGGACTGATCAGAGCATATTTATTTGTGAGACATCTCTTTCTGATGACCTCAATGAAACCAAAGAAACCAAAGAAAATGACCAAGAAACAAAAACAAAAAAAAACTCACCACAAAAAATCTCAGCAATTTGAACTTCAGTGGTAGTTTCTGCTCTAAGAAACCTATCTGGCCCAAAATTGTCAGTCTCTTGTTTGCTCAACAAAGGGTAAGTAACACCTCCACATTACAGCATGCTTTTAGAATTGCAAACACCATTTCAAAAAGCCCGGGAGGAAGTTAAGTGCCATCATATTTTCCAGATGTGAAACAGAAAGGAGTTAGGAAAACACTTGCCAGAAACTGAATAAGAATGTATCTGCCAGAGCAGAATCATTCTTTCAGATCTCACCCACAAGACCACTTAGCTGGCTATATTTTACCTGATGAACAGAGGTCCTCAGAACTTTCTTTATAAAACTTAAAAGTTACATAGTTAGACTTTTTAAAGTCAGTTAGTGTACTCAAATTAGTATTAGAAAATGTTTCTTTTACCAAACTTACAGTAATCTCTTCTCAATGCCCTGGTTTTAAGTTCTGAAGTGCTAACCAACCTCTCAGGACAGGAGTAAGGCAGACCAGGGAAAGAAGAAAAAGGCAGAGGGAGAAAAAATGCAAGCAGAAACCTCATGTTCTTTTAGGCCTGTAAGATCAGCTAGAGGTTGCAAGGCTACAGTCCAGAAGTGGTTTTCCTGAAGAAGAAGAAGAAAAAAATGAAAGGAGAAAAGAAGTTTTATTTAGTTAGCAATCATAAGGGCAGATGCAAGTCAGGTCTCATGCAAAGTCTGGAAGGCAGACTGCCTGCAACAACAGGACAGCAGGAGCACCCCAAGCCAGGCCAAGCCAGCGCTTCTCACGAGTGCAATGAAAAAGAAACCCTTGGGAATGGTGAAGAAAACAATCCTGGTTTCTGTCCTCAAACCTGCCCCTCCCAGGGCTACCCCTATGGACGGCCAGCTGCTCACCTTGGGAGAGTCGCCCGTGACCGTGATGCGGAAGAGGAACATGGACACGCACATCCCAGCCATCATGGACAGCAGCAGCCCGTGCCGGGGGTTCCCGTAGCTGGACAGCCCCACCTGGGACACAAGCAAGGGAGGAAAGTGGACAGGCAGAAACTGCAGCGACTTCCTTTTACACCTGCACTGACCACACCGTCCACAGCCCCGTCAGAAACACGGACGCACATCAACAGCACATCTGCTGGCACGCCTTGTCAATGGTTTAAGGGCTGCACACAGTCAAACTGTGCTAAACAAAAGCTCTTAGTGATAAACCATACTTCAGTTATCAACCCCTTCCACCCTGAATCTGGCTCCAGATCCCAACACTGGATTTTAATGTGGGGTTTTTTTCAGCCAGAAGACAATTATCAGCAAACTGCCCTTCCACACTAAAATCTGGAGACCACAGTAAAGCAAACAAATTAAACAGATTAAACACCTCGAATCTGACAGGCATATTGCAACACCTAACATCAGCAGACCTATTTCCTAGCACCTTCTGGAGTGTTTGACAGCTGTGCCCGTGCACATGACAGAACTGAGTACGGGCTGGTTTCTCTGCTGTGCTCCCAGGGACAGCACCCTGCCCGAGTGCCTCAGTGAAGCAGCTCAGACTGCCACTGTGTTCCCTGCCCAGCATGCCCAAGGGTGCACATGACTTACTTTTGCTACTGCTCTATCGGAAAGGTATCCAGCAGCAATGCTTCCCACCAGGCCCCCAATCTCCAAGGCACTCATGTAGGAACTGCCTAGAACACAGATGAAGCAAAGAACAGCCCATCAGATTTGGTGCTGTGGGCTGCAAGCTCACAGAGCACGTGAGCAGCTCTGCTGGACACAACAATCTGGCTCATCCCCGTTCAGGAATGCCTGTCTGCCAGTCCCTGGAATGCTCTGGCACTGGGGTGCTTGGTGCATGCACTAACTCCATCATTCAGTTATTGAGTGTCCAAAACCTGTGCGTAGCTAAGCAAGGGCCTCTACCCAGGCAAACTCTGGCAACACCTCCCACACTGCGGCCCCAGAGCTTAATAATGCAGTTCTGCATCTCACCTACAAGCATGGACTGTCCCCTCTCCTGGATCAGGAAGAGCTGTCCCCAATCAGTACAGCACGTTTTCACTCCAAAAACGACCAGGTAGCCTGTTGAGAGCACCCAGAGGTATGGGGAGAGCAGCAGCTCTGTCAAGGTGCTGTTGTCGCTGGAGGAACCTGCAGGAAGGTCGGGAGGAGTGTTACCACAGCCCAAACCACACCAACCTGCAGCCCAGTTCTACAGGCAGGAGCAAGGCATGAGAACATCCCCACACAGGGAGCTATTCACAGCTGCTGAACGGTGGTGAATGGCTCTACCTCCCCCTTGTTCTGGTGATTTCGAAATCTCTTCTGTCATTTTATCCCACATTCATTAAAGATTTGAAAAGAATAATCAAAACACTACTCCCAGTAATTTTCTGTATTTCAGTTGCCAGTAAACCACCCACAAAGGTTTTTGGAAAATTACCGCTAGATTCTTTGGGAGTGTTTTTTTAGCTACGCCTGTGAAAGGCACTGCATAGACCCAAACAAAGATGCTTTCAGATGCTACCTTCATTTGTGCATCAGTCTTCCAAGAACACCAACAAACTTGCTCTCCCCAGAGAATGCTCCGGGGAAACAATATTCTTTTCTTATGCAAAGAGGTCCAGTCTGGCAGCACAGTCAGTATGGGACAGCATGGAACATGGGCTGAGTTTCCACTGGCCTTTAAAATCCTACTGAAAACCTGTGTTGCAATTCCCATCTACATGTTCTGCTTCCAGAGAAGCACCACACTCAGTGGTCTGAACAAACATTTACTAACTAGATGTCCTGGGCTGGGACAGAGACACTGAGCAGAGTCCACCGAGAGCCAGGGGTCAGGAGAGCCCAAGGTGGGGTGAGGGGAGAGCTGCCTGCCCGCTGCCAAAGCGGAGGAGCAGAGGGCAGGCCCAAGGAAGCATTCCCTGCTGCTGCAGCTTTTCTCTCCACCACCTCACCAAAACTGCGCTCGCAGGCTCAGCACACAAGGCTCCAAGGAAATAGGGATGCTGGTAGCAGGAAGACAGGACTTATATGGGGAGAGCCAGCCCTGAGCAGCTCAGCAGCACACAGGTGTCTGCCGGCAGGCTGAGGAGCAAGACTAACAGAGGGCTAACAGCAGGCTTTTCCCCTGCTCTGCCAGTGTCAGGAATCCCTACACCAGCTCCTTCCCACAAGATCACAGTGGGCCTTCATTCACACAATTTGTACCTTCATTACTAGAATAAAGCAGCCAAAATCAACCCATTACCACATGCCTGCCAAAATGTGACTTCAGAAACTGGGGAGGATGGGGGTGTTGGTATGCTGAGAGCGACACATCTGTACCAGAACACAGACAGAAGGCACTGCATCGTCTGCTGCAGCTGCCTGCTTGCATCGAAGCCACATGCTCACCTTTCTTCCCCTTCTTGGCTCCTTGCTCAATGTTGGGCAGCCCAACATCTGCCGGCTCGTTTTTAATCAGGACAAGGCAAACAAAAGAGACAACCATGCAGGTGAAGCCAGAGAAGGACAAAGTCTTGCGCCAATCGTAGTTCATAGACACAAGAGCAGCGAGAATGGGGCCCAAGCCTCCAGCCAAGTTCATGCTTGTAGACAGGATTGCCCACCAAGTCCCAAACTGGGAAGGCTCAAACCACTGTGCAACAAAAAAAACAGCATGAGGTATAAGAGAGTGACAGCACGCCTGAAAACCCTCCCTTGAAGCCCATGATGTGGGGCGGGGGCAATTCAGACACAGAACTCCAAAAGCAGGTGGAGGGAACACCCACACCTCCCTACTTTAGTCATGCACGGAACTCCAAACATTACTCAAGTGTCAGCCCAAAGAGCTTGACAGGTGTCCACACTGTGAGCCAGCTCAAAGTTATTTCCATTTACAGAACATGAAACTGAGACGTGGGGCAGGAGAGGCAAGTTTAAGAGCACATGGTTTTGTGTACTCACTTGCTAGAACAGCGTCCTCCTGGAGAGCTCTGCTGGCTCAGGAACTTGGATGGATACACAGAGAGTCACAGGGTAACTTTAGGACTCCGCTGCATTAAGTATCAGACATGATGGGCTCCGTACTGCAAGGAGCACCCAGAGCCAGAACCACTTGGTGGTTCTTGTCAGCAGGAAAATGTCTGAGATCTACATTCATGAACATCTTCAGAAAACACCACAGCTGATATTTCTATTATTTGGGCCCTTCTTTTCTGTGCATTCAACTGTCCTGCTCAGCCCTCTCCTCATCAGTTAGGGGAGGCTACGCGTCTCACAGAAAAGCAACAAAGTTGTTTATTTCTTCCCCACCCTGCCCCACGGGATCAGCATAAAACTAACCAAACTCCTTTCCTTCTGTCCTTGGGAGAAATCAATCTGGTCCTTTCAGATTGTCACAAACTCCAAGTACACACAGCTCAGAGACTCATCTTGCACTATTCCTCCATTTTACCCAGTTTTCTACCCAAACCACCTGTGATTTGGAATTCCCAGGTTGCCCAAGCGTGCAGATGGAACTGTGCTCACTGTCCCCTGAGCCGCAGCAGCAGAGTGAAGCAGTCCGGTGTGTCCACGCCTAAAATACTTAATTTCAACAGAGTCTGCCTCAACGGGGCAGAACCCTGCTACCAGGAGATGTTACCAAACTGAGCTACACTCAAGGCACATAGGGGCAAGGGCTACAGAGTGAATCTTTGCTAGGATAAGCAAAACCCCGTGCACGGAAACTTGTTCCACAGGCAGCAGAATGCAGATAGTGCTCTGGCCCCCTTGGCTGGAAGGGAGTGAGAAAAGCTGCAAGTCCCTGTGGATTCCGGCCAGCGAGGCGTGCGCGGCCCCGATGCCGGGGCAGGTCAGGAGGGCAGCGGCAGCTCCCCGCGGCTCTCAGCACCCACCTTGCGCAGGATCTTGCCGCAGGGCGGCCAGCCCAGCCCCTGGGCCAGGCCGTTGAGGAACCAGAGCCCGGCAAAGGCCATGACGGTGGAGCTCCAGGAGAAGACCACGTTGACCAAGCCCACCATGAGGAGGCCGGAGGAGAAGAGCCAGCGGGCGCTCATCTGGTCCGAGAGGACGCCGCTGATGAACTTGCTGATGGCGTAGGCTGCCGACTGGCTGCTGGTGATGAGACCTGCGGCGGGCAGAGCCCAGGGGCGCCTCAGCCCGCGGAACGGCCACCCCGGGCCGGCGCGGCCGAGAGGCCCGGACCCTCACTCACCCAGGTCGTCCTTCCCCAGCGGCACCTCGGCCATGACGGCGGGCATGACGAACGAGAAGGTTTTGCGGTTGAAGTAATAGAGCGTGTAGCCCACGAACATGGCCGCGAAGATCGCAGCCCGGTAGCGCCCGTACCCGCCGGCCGCCATCGCTGCCGCGGCGCCGCACCGGCCCGGAGCGCCCCGCTCGCACGCACGGACGGACGGACAGACGGAGCCGGCCCGCCGCCCCGCCCCGGCCCGCGGAAGTCCCGCCCCGCTCCCGGCACACACGGCACCGCTCCGCACAGCCCCGCCGGACGTGTCGCTTTTATTTTCGGCTGAAGAGCCAGAATGGAGAACAATGTCAGATGCACATTCGCAGCCGTCGGACCCCGCTCGCGTGTGTGGCAGCAGCAGGGACGGTCTGAGGAGGCAGGAGGTCACGGCCAGGGACAGGGACAGTCACACGATTAAGTCGGTCCAAGTGCACAAAATACCGAGGAAGGAAAGCAGTTGCCGTTAGACTTTTCAGGTTTGGTTGTTTGAGCCGTATCGCTGTCCTTGTGACTGACTACAGGATGTGCCAACACGGCCCATCTTTCCCTCTCCTCTGCATTCAGTGTTGCCTTTTCTGAACTTTAAAAACTATGAACAGAATCTTTTTGAAAAGTCTCGCATCATGGTTCTTGGACTCTGCTAGAGAGCACAGACAGTTTTAACAAACAGCCTATTGAAAACAGACACAGCCATATCTCAAAGCACAGATCATCTGCCTTCCCAATCTTGTTCCACCTTACCATGAATCCAAGTATTAATACACCTCCCACCAGCTGAGATCACACATTTGCTCTAAGTCAGAGTCTCATAGACAACAGCACTTCAGGTCTATATCCTTCTGCAATCATCTTCACAAGCGGTGGGGCACAGAGCTTATGTTTCAGGTTACTTCCTACACCTTAAGATGTTTCTGCACTGTTTTCTCCCCACAGGAAAGTCACTTTGGTGACTTCTGTACTGAAACAAAGACAATTCTTGGTGGGCAGTCTGCCCCACATAATAGAAGAAAAACAAAAACCAATTCACTAAGTTAGTAGAGGCAAAATCCGCAGAAAGAACAAAAAAATAAATTTACATCTCTATCCCATTGTGTTGCCATTGTGTTCCATTTACATCGTGACTAACCAGGTCCATAAGAAAAACAAGAAAGTAACTATGAAATAAATAGATGCTGACACTTGAAGGACTTCAGGGTGTTACAATTCATCGTTTTTCCTGCTTTCTCTTCCAGCTTCTGCCTTCTCTTTTTTGGACCCTGTGTAATGAAGCAAACTCAGTTTCAACACTGCAGTCGTTTTCACAGCATGCAAAGCAGTACTGCGAGTCTCTGACATTTGCAAAATTTGCCACAAAACTTGCAGTCCACGGTAAGAGGTTTTGGGGGTTGATACTCAGCTCCACGGGGCTGAAGCCATGAACCCTCTGGCGCTGTTCACAGCGCTGCCCCGGCAGCAGGAGAGGCACAGCAGCTCTAAACAGAGCCTGTCTCACAGCCATGGGACTGGCTGCAAACTGCAGGGACAGGGGCACAAAGCAGCACGGTGCATAAGAATTCCACTCTGAATGAACAATGGATGAGCAGTCAGGGGTTCTACCATCATATTACCTCTTACAGCTAAAAATCTGCAAAGGAGCCCCCAGACACCTTGCACTGGCAGCTCCCAATTTCCAGATTGTTAGCAAAACATTTACCCACCCGAGTCTGATCCAGGCTTATCATCTATTGCTGCTTTCTCAGCTGTAGGAGGTTCCTTGGCTGGATCAATATCCTCTGGTTTGTCTATGTTTAAAGCAGAAAGAAATAGAAGTCAAGGGAGAACACACAGGAAACAAGGTGCAAAGAGATGAGGTGAGCAAAGGTGAGGTTAAACCAGCCAGCTGTGGTGCCTCAGCAGGACGGTAACAGCTCACTCTCCCAGCAGATCACTCTACAGCTCTCAAGAGAAGCACCACCAAACTGCTCCGTATTCCCCTCTGAGTGCCAAGCTTTATGTCCTCAGAAGCCCTGGAGACTGACTGGTTGCACAGGCAGATGACCTTTGGAGCTGTGACTGTGAGCAGGATCCCTTGAGAGGAACCAGCAGGAATGCTGACAAACAGCACCCAGATTTAAAAGGACCAGGGCACTTGAGACCTGAGGATCTTAGAAAGTTCAAAAAACTAAGTCCTAATGCCCCAAGAGATTTTTTTTTTTCCCCTGGGGTCCATCTAGGCCATGAACCTTTCTCATCAACAATTCATTCTACTCACTGATCTAGGACAGGACTTTCAGTATTCAGCTCAGTACACTGAAGTGCAGTCAATGGCTAATCTTTCCTAGAAGTCAACAAGCCAGCAAGACAGGTACTGACTATCCTGGGACATTAATAAATAATTTCTGTTTCTTCACAAAAAACCCAAACAAATGGTGGGGGTGAAGGACACTGCAATACATAGATTTTCCCAGCTGTCTTTGAAAACTGAGAGGAAACTCACCTAATCTCACAGTTAACTACTGTCCTCCCTTCTTTAACTCCCGTTCAATCAAGAGAAACACCACGTATTACATATGGTAATTATAATAGGGAGTGACATACATGCTCCAAGCCTGCTACTTACCTTCTTGTTTCCCCTCCGTGGGAGGGATAGTATTCTCAGTCTCAGGGGCTGCTGTAGTATTCTTGCCTGGATCAGTTTTTGTGGCATTCTTCTCCCTTTTGGGTTTGGGTTTTGCAAACTTGGCTTTATTCAGGAGATACTGCACTTCCCTGTCGAGGGCTGCTATCTTGAACTCTATATCTTTAGAGAGCAGCACAGGTTTCTCAGTAGGAGTAAGCTTGTTCTGTTCAGCCAGTGTCTCATTTTTCCAGATCTGTGGGACGCGAGGGAAGAGGTGCTTTTGGAATGCTTCTGGGTTCCAGGAACTGCTGTATATCACAGTATCTCAAAGTCACTGCCCCAGGCTATTCTGCTTTACTCAGGACAGCTCTCCTCTGTGCTACATTTCCACCAACCTCTCAGTTTACCCAGACACAGGAAAAAGAGAAACAAAGTCCAGTGCCTGCCTTTAAAAACCGAGTGCAATCAGATCACTGGGCTCCACCCTCACCCTGGAGATGATTCCATATGCAACACAGGAACCACCATTCCCCCCAGACACAATGGGGTCAGGCTGGGCATTAGGAAACACTGAAACACACAAAAGGCTTGCTGGTGGCACAAAAACAAAATGTGCACGTTCTACTCCACGATCCTGAGTGAAAGTACAGGCCATAAGGCAAACTGCCACCCCCCACCCTCCTCCAGCATCACTCCAGCCTTCAGTACCGTGGTTTCATTGATGGCTTTTTCCAGTGTACTCAGTTCCACTTCTGTGAATACCTGGTCAGACTCTGGAATCATTCGGGCTCCCCTTGTAGAAAAGAAAGCTTATTTTAGTTAAGCCAAGCAGACTGCACTTTGGCAACTCAGTGTTTACAGCTTCAGTAATACAAAAACATCACAACAACCATACTGGACCCTTCTTGCCCCCATTTTGGACAAGGGGCTGTTCACAGGTCCTGCAGAACAGGACACCGGGGAGCAGGGTTCTGCTCACCTTTTCTCAGGAACTGCCACTGACTTTGACATTCACTCTGGTCTCATTCTGATGGCAGCTCCTACATAACCAGTTGCATGACATTCCTTCCCAAAAGCCTGTCCTTACCTGAGAAAGATGGTGGAGTGATTGAGCAGACTTTCCAGAGCAGCCAGGCGTTCTGGCCACTTTCTCCGTTCCTCAACACGGAAGAAAAGGTTCCTACAAAGCTTTTTCAGCTCTGAAAGCTTGTCTTTCAGCTCCTGAAAATGGGGGAGAGGAGAAATTAATTATTCAGTTAATTTCACCACTGTATAACACTGGCAACTTCAGAAGTTTTAACTTCATTTGTTTTTCACTCTATCAAATACACCATTTCAGTGCAGTAAAAAGAGCCACATGACAAAGCTTTCAGTCAACAGGTTTCTGCTGAAGCTCTTGTAGAAGCATCAATGGCTAGGATAACTTCTTATTTTGTTCTCTGCATAACGCTCTGAGGAACCAAGAAACTCTCAAGAACCAGATTACAAAGGCTCTGTCAGTCTCTGTGGTCACTTCCACGTCAGTGACAGCTGACTGGTGTCCTGACTGCACACAGTACTACCTTTGTTGCAGCTGCATAGCCCTCCTCTTCCATCCAACTGGAAGCCTCACTAAGCTTTTTGGAAATTTCTTCTCTCTGCTCCTCTGTCGAAACAAACTGATACTCCTCTTGGTAAAGCTTGTCCTAAAAAAACAGCAAGCAATGGTCAAACACCACTGAGCCTGGAACCATAAAACAAGAGCACTCACTTGTGATTGGGGTGGGGCGCTGCCTGCACCCTCCCAAATCTGAGCTCTGCTCCTAGCATTGCCAGGAGCACAATGTAACACACCACGTATAGACGCACCCACATTCCATGGTGGTAACACTGCAACTGTCATTGTTTCACATACAATTCACACTATACACAACAGTTCCTGAGAAGTTGTAGCTTCTTTACACTCTGGGGGCAATTGTTCAATGTTTTAGACATGCTGAAGGGAAGTTTCATTTTGTATTGAGGAAACATGGGCCTGGGAAGCCTAATAGCATTAGCAAAAGACAAAACCTGGGCTCTTCAAATCAGTTTCCCGCAGCTCAAACAACTCCCCTGCACTCAGATCAGCCAAAAGCTGTGCAAAACACTTCTACTGCTCTCCTGGAATTCTCATTTCATTATATCCCTCTCTTACCTGGGTCTCAAAGATGAATGACTCCAAGCTGTTGGCTGATTTTTCTCTTTCCTGTTTCTCTAGATCTCTGATCGTCAACTCTTGGAGTCTAACATGCAAAGAGAACAAAAATCAAAAGTTAGCAAGTGCCCTTTGTTGAGCAGCACATCACACACACCAGCTTCTGAGGTCAGCAGTGCCCTGTGTGAGCCATCACCATCCCAAAGCAATTCCCTTCCTTCATCTAGAGTTCTAACTTAGCAGAGCCATTTCAAACCTACTTTTTCATTGAGCTCTTCAGTTCATCTTCCTCCAGGTCAGGCACATCATTTACATCCAGCTCCATTGTGATCTCATGGACAAGCTTCTGCTTCTTGGGTGCTTTGATTTTCTCCTCCTCTGATTTGGCA